GGGCACATGGGGTGCAGCCCCCAGACAGGTTGGGGGGGAGAGGAAGGTAACTGCCCTGGAAAGCAAATTTCCCAGGGCTGGAGGTGAAGTCAAAGAGGTAACAGCTCTTCAGCAGCACCCAGCCAGCCTGTCTCTGTGGGTGCATCCCACTCTGGGCTGAGCCGCTGGCTCCATGGCACAGGAGAGAAGGGCAGTGCCATTGCTGAAGGCAGCGAAGTGCCCTGGCACTGCTTGGTTCCCCTGAGATCACCCCACTCTTGGCTCTTGCGGGGTAGCCTGTGCAGTGCTGGGTTTCTCTGGGGAGAGCAGGGCAGCCGTAGGTCGCCGGTGGCTCGTTTCCACACTGCCTTCCCTTTGGTTGGAGGGAGGAGAGGAGGGAACATCTCAGGAACAGGACTTGGGAAGGGTCCTACAGACAGACCCTGGGTGTTTCAGGCAGCCGTGCTGAGTGCTCCCCATCTTGACCAGGTCGCACCCTTTGGTGCGGCAGCATCTTCCTCTGGGGGAGGGAAGTGAGAGGCACTGGCCTAGGAAAGCCGCCGCAGGGCAGTACTCTGACTTTCCACCCCCCTTGTGATCCCCATACCCCTTCTGCACACCCATGCCACCCCGTATCCCTGGTGCTGAGGCTGTGGGTGTGCCTCTTCTCTCTCACCCCAAAGGCTGAACCAAGCTGCCAGGAGCTCCAGTAACAGCTCTGGTGCTGTCGCTGGCCCTGGGGCATCTTCTGCTGCCAACAAACTGGAGATCTTGAAGGAAGAGGAGGAAGAGGTGAAGAGGAAGGTGGAGCAGTGCAAGGTGAGAACCTCACTCACTCTTCCCCACGGGGCAGCTCCAGGGCTTGAGACCTGCTCCCCTCCAGCAGCTCCAACCGAGGTGACCCCACACCAAGAGAGATGCAGCCAGCTGGCACGTCCTGCCCTCTGCAAGCAAACTGGTCCCTCAAGGAGCAGAAATAGGGAGATGCTCCAAGCCCAGGGAAGAAGAGTAAAGGATTCAAAGCACAAGCTGCTGCAGAGAGGAGGCTCCATGGGCTACAGCAGGGAGCATATGGGGTCCCCTCAGGCTAGGAGCCAGCGGAGCTGGGGTTCGTGCTGGGTGGCAGAGGACTTTCACATCAGCTTTCTCCACTTCTGCTGTGTTTCTCTGAAAAGCCGGGAGCCTTGTCTGGCAGATCCCACGGGCATGCTGGAGCTGGAGGTGCAGGGACCTCTTGTCCCCAAGCCTCTTGTGCCAGGACCCTGATCGTAGGGGAGGTCACTGACACTACCTGAATGCAAGCAATGGGGGCGAGGAGGAATCCCCATGCAGTCCCAGCCTGCCTCCCCACCGCACCCCGGAGACCCTGTCTGGGTGACTCACGGCCCAGATGGGGGGCTTTGTGAAGACATCCTCTCTTTCTTGGGTGCCAGAGAGGAGGTAGAAGGTTGCTCTTCTCTCTGTCTCCCTTCCCAGGATGAGTACATGGCTGACCTCTACCACTTCTCCACCAAAGAGGACAGCTACGCCAGCTACTTCATCAGAGTAAGTCCTCTCTCACACTCCTCCTCCACATGTGAACATCTCCTGGGGTATGTGTGAGCCCAGCCTTGTCCGCACCCGCACCAAGCCCTCCAGCCAGGGCAGGGGACAGCCCCAGGCACCGGCAGATGCCCAAAGCTGGCCTTGCTCTGTACACTGCGGGTGCACATCGCCACTAGCACCAACTGCAAACAGAGCAGCTTGTCCCGATGATCCCTCCATCTCCAGTTTTCCCCCTACCCCTCACTATAGCCATGGTCCCACAAACCCCGGGGGGATTCCCCTTGCAGCTCCCCTTTTGCCCTGTCTCTATGTGGGTGCAATGTCCTGGGGATGAGGGTCTCTCCAAGAGGGGCCGGTGCTGAACTGAGTGCTGTTTGCGTGTTCCCTGTCTGGCAGCTGCTGGAAATCCAAGCCCAGTACCACCGGCAGTCCCTGGGATCGCTGGACTCGGCTCTGGCAGAGCTGAAGGAAAGCCACAGCCAGACAGGTACCTGCTGGTTCTCCACGCAGCCCAGGGAGAGCCTCAGCTGAGCCCAGGGGATGCAAGCACAGCTGGTGAGGCTGGGAAAGGCAGGTTTTCCCTCCCTGTGCCTGCTGCTGCCTCCCACATCAGGCTGGTGGGATGGGGACCGCATCCTGGGGCAGGCTGGGGGTGCTGCCTGCCCTGCCTCTGCTTCCACCCAGCCAGCCCCAGCTCAGAGAGAGTTGTTGGCATGGCTACATGCCAGATGGCCCCAGCAGCCGCCATCCCTCCCGACATTCACCTCCCTCTTCCAGAGCCCTCCTTCACTGCAGTCACCCCGGTGGCAGGGTACTACGGTGTGCCCCTAGAGATGCACCTCAAGAGCTTGGGCCGGGAGATCGCGCTGCCCATCGAAGCCTGTGTCATGATGCTGCTGGCCTCCGGCATGAGGGAAGAGGTAGGCAGCGCTCCTAATGCCCCTGCCACCCTCTGCCCCAAAATGCAGTCCCCCACATCCCTTCCCTCTTCACCTCATCCCCAGGGACTCTTCCGGCTGGCAGCGGGTGCCTCGGTGCTGAAGAAGCTGAAGAGCAGTTTAGCCAGCGGCTCCAACGCCCTGGAGGAGTTTTACTCAGACCCCCATGCCGTGGCCGGTGGGTGCCAGCGAGGTGGGATGGGGGGACACCATCGGGCAGTCCGTGCCATCCCCCAACCGCCATCACCCCTGCCGCTCCCCCTCCCCTCCCAGGTGCGCTGAAATCCTACCTGCGGGAGCTGCCCCAGCCTTTGATGACCTTCGAGCTCTACAATGAATGGGTCAAAGTGGCCAGGTGGGTCCAGGCGTTGGGGTGGAAAAGTCTGGTGGGGCTCAAAAAGCCCCCCTGCTACCCTCCCTCTCTCCCTCCCAGCACTCAGAGCAGGGCTGATCAGCCTCGTTTGCCATGTGGGGAGGTAAGAACGCAGCGCCTGGTCTGTCCCATGCTCAGCAGAAATCCAGATGGCCCAAAATCTCAGAGAATAGCAATAAAAAACACGGCAGGGTGAGGGGGAAGGCTGCAGCCTTTTTGATTGCAAGAAGAGCTTAGCCTATGAAGATCCACTTGGCCTCAGTGGCGTGAGCCCCATCTCACTGGCCCAGCAGCCCAGTTTGGCCTTTTGCTTTTGGGATGGAAGGGGTGGTAGAGGAGGCACAGCAAAAAGCCTGGGGGAAGGGAGAGAGTACCTTTCTAAAGGGATCAGCTCAGTGCCATTGATACCCCTAGTCATGGTGAAATAGGGTTGTTGCTTATGGCAAGGCAGTGCTCACCCCTAGGCCCACCCACGAGATATATTGATATTGTATCAAATCCCTTTGAGCCTTTGGGGTGCAATTTTGTAGATGACTGGCTCAGCTGCCCAGTAAAGGCAGCAGCAGGGCATCTCCATCCCCACACAGGGCAGCTGACACTGGCCTTCCTCCCTTGCATGCCATGTCCCTCTCTGCCATAGGGACCGGGCTGAGCTCTCTGCTCCTCTGTCTTCTCTCTTGCAGTTTAAAGGATGTTGATGAACGCATACAGAGCCTGCAAGACACCTGCAGCCGCCTGCCCCAGGAGAGCTACAACAATCTGAGGTGTTTTGCAGGGACGGGGCTTCTTCAGCCCCAAGCAATCACTGGGGGGCAGCCGTTCTCTCCCCAAATCCATACTTACTGCCCCTTTGCCCTCCTTTTACCCCACAGGTATCTGATCAAGTTTTTAGCCAAGCTGGCCGAACACCAGGACTTGAATAAAATGACCCCCAGCAACATCGCCATCGTGCTGGGCCCCAACCTGCTGTGGACACAGCAGAGCACAGCGTAAGGCCTGGCTCGGAGGGGTGGGAAGCAGCTCAGGGTGCCCTGAGCGCTAACGCCATGGGAAAGGCTGATCTTGCAGCCTTCAGGCTGGTCTAAAGCACCTGTGCTTCTTCCATCCTCAAGTCCCGTCCCTTGCCCATGCACTCCCTGAGCAGCACGTCCCCTTGCCAAGTACATGTCTACTTAGCCACTCTGCAAAGTGGCAGAGGAAGAGGCTGAGACCTGGAGCACTTGTGACATGGATGGCCTCCAACACCAAACTAGGGTTTCCAGGACAGGGAACAAGGTCCACCTCCTACCCTACCACCCCCCTTGGCTGGGCTGTCTCCCCTTTGGGCTCTGTCCCCTCAGGAATGAACACCAAAAAGGTTAATGTCCCCAAAATCCTTTTCTGATGCCTCTCCCACCCCCTGTCTCTCAGAGACCCTGTGCAGCTGGACTTGGCCTCGGTCTCCTCCATCCAGGTGGTGGGTGTGGTGGAAGCCCTCATCCAGAACGCGGACACACTCTTCCCTGGAGGTAGGGCCAGGGCCTTGCTCAGGGGAATGCAGCAGAGAGTGAAGAGGGGCGGGGGGAAGAAGGGAAAGGGCCATCATCCACAGGAGGAGGGAAGCAGGGGGCTGCTCCGGTTCCCCGCTGTGGGGTCACCACGGGAAGCTTTGCACAGCAAGTGCTTCCTCGTGGTGTCTTCTCCTTCTCTCCACCCAGAAGTAGATTTCAACGTCACAGGCATGTTCACACCTCCCGCAAATAGCGGACTTGGCAAGGCCGCCTCGGTGGAAGAGCCACCCCCCAAGTCCCCTCTGGCCGGCACCCCCACTCTCACGGATGGAGAGGCGTAAGTCTGGTGGGAGCTGGGGGCTCTGGCTGTCCCAGCTCTCCCCATGTCCTCCCCTCATCCCACCCCACACCATGGGCCGTGTCCTTGCCAGATGGATGCGGGATGCCTCACGCCCAGGACCGCCATGCCCAACCAAAGCCTGACTTGCCCCATTCTCTGCACAGCACCTCGAGGGACCCTGAGGCCAGATGCCAGCCAACATCCCCAGCGGTGACCCGACCGCCTCCTGAAGCCACAGGGCCACCAGCTCCGCAGACAACTGACAACACCACCCACAAAGGTTAGGGTGCCCCAGATGGCACAGTGCTTGGGGGATGACACCCCCCAATGCCACTTCCTCTGGTTTGCCTTCATCCCACCGTTCCCCACGAGAAAGGGTGCTGCAGATGTCCCTGCCACCAAACGAGAGGAAGGGCCCCTGGCCAGGGCAGCATGGCCAGGATCTGGCCCCTCATCGTGTGCTCCATCCCCAGCCAAGGTGGGACTGCAGGGGTGGACGTGGCCAGTCCTCCAGTGTGGGGGTGAACACCCCCCATAAAGAAGTGTCAAAGCTCATGGCCCTTGGTGAAGGGAAGAGGGTGGGAAAAGCCCCCACAAGCTGTCATGCACTTGGGTCTCCAGTGTGGGAGCGGAGCAAGGGGCAGCTTGTCCATCAATCTGCCTGCAGCCCCGCGC